TAAATAAATAACAAATATTTGAATATTAAAAATAGGTTATTATATATAACTGTAGACTACGAGTATTTTTATATTTTCTCCATCCCAAAATAATTATTATTTTTGACTTTTTTCTTAAATTAAAGATTTAAGGACAATAATTGTATTTATCTATAATACCTCTAGAAAAATAAAAAATAAAGAGAGATTTTTTGTGATGGGATAATTAATTAAAGTGAATAAATAATGATAGGGATAAAGTAAGAAAAAAATATTTTTCTATTTTAAAAAATAAAAAATGATAATTAATTTGAAATAAATTTAAAATAAAAAAATAGCAATTATTTTAGAATGAAGCCAATAATATCTTATATCATATATGGGTTAGGTAAGTACAAACCTCTATATTTAGTAGTTAAGTGATAATTAACAAGTATATATTTATTATATCTAATATATTTAATAAAAAATATGAAAATTATGATGTCTTATGTTAAAATTGTCAAAGGTTTAATAATAATTGTATAATAAATTTAATAAAATTAAATATTATATTATATTTTATATTTTTAATAATTATAATTAAACATTATAATATTTTTAATACTACAATGAATTAATTTTTTTAATATTTAATTATTTATTTTAAGTACAAATAAAATACATTCTTAAACAAATCAGATATCTAAAATATCAAGTATGCCCATATGGAAACTCTCACCTCTGTTACAGATGTTGCCATTATCGACCTGCCTCATTTTTAACAAAGAAAGATATGATTAGTTTATGAAGGGAATCTTAGGAGAGAGAAGAACCTTGGTGGAAAGTAGTTGGCTCAAGAAACACAACCTTGAAAATTCTGAGAACCAAGATTGCCGGCTGTCCTTTCTAGGGGTGAGCAAATATCGGTCTTGGTTAAAATTGTTTGACCAATCGAAATTTTTTTGTTTTAATTTTCAAGAAAAATGAAACTAAAATACATATAATTTTTTGGTTTGAATATCTAAATATTTATTATTATGTATTTATTTTTATTTGAATCAATAAATTATTAAACGTCAAAAAATAAGTGGTAATTTATCAACACCTGTGAGATAAATGTGGTTTACATGCGGTGTAGTGGGATGAGATCTTTAAGAGATTCTCTGTCAATATAAGAAAAGGGTGGATAAATGTAAGTAAAATATGAATTTTTAATTTTATTTATTAACTTTTAAATATATTTTAAATTTAAATTTTAAATTATAATAAAATTTATAAGATAACACTTGAAATGAAATTCAATAAAATGAATTTTTTAATGATTTAAAATATTTAAA